GACCTTAAGAAACGTATAACGTAAAATGAGATCTCGCGGTACCATGAATGAATGGGGAAGCTTATTATCTTAAAAGGCATTCCACATTTATTTGCTAAGAGAACGCTTATGTATACTTCCGTTTTTATTCGACCTATTATTTTTTCGCGCACAGAGCAATCGGAGCGATCCTCGTTCGATACCCGAGATCCAACAAAAAGCTAATGAATCTCTGATCGAACCTCGGCGAGCTAAAAAAAGTCAGGAATGGTAGAGAAAAGTCGTCAATCTGTGTGGGTGATTAGGTTGGCGCTGAAAAAATGTAATGGTTGAAAAAAACGTATATATACACAGCCTCGTTTGATCGCCGCAAAGATCGTCGGTAATGGTGTCTCCCTGCCGCGAGGACTCGAGGATATCGCGGCGTGGATTTGGAACGCGGCCAGGAAGCGATAACTGGAAATCTGTCGGACAACTCGATTTCGTCGAGAGTGAGAGAGAAGGGACGCCGTGGAGAAACTTGTTTACTGCACCGATAATGGTATTCCGACCGGTGCATCGCCGGCGGTCGTGTTCCACCGGCACTGTTAATGGACTTACGACGAATCGCAGGGATTTACACGGCATTACAAACGCGTTTGCGACTAATCTCTCTTCGCGTGTGAGACCGGTCGGTCTGCCGTTGACAGTAGTTCCTCTCGCTCCGCTCGCGCGCCCGCGCGTTACTCTATCTGCGGTCTCGGAAGCAATTTTCGTCTAGATTAGCGGTTTCAATCGTGTAACGTCGTATTTTCAATCAGGAACGCCATAGAGATCTCGAGATTGCCCCGGCACGGTTGATGGTTCATGGCTTTGAGTTAATTAATTTTCAAGAAAAGTGTTTCCCCAAAAAATAATGTGTACTAAAACGTAGAGATGCGAGGAAACGTTGAGATTGATGACTTGCGATTTTACGGAAGGAGGAATCGAAGCGTGTGATGAATCTTGTTTTCGATCGACGATTGAAAACTTGGGTCGTATCCTTTTATCCAATTCAAGGTAATGATAAAAGAATAATTAATTAAAGATACGTATATTACACTTGTTCAAATAATTTGGTAAAAATTCTTAATATTAAATATTTGATAATATAATTTCTAAAGCGCTTGCAACGATGCGAATCTTTTAGTGTCCTCATAAGCGTCTTACATACGTATCCATTTGAGGCGCGTCCGGATCGATAAATTTTTCTGACGTAAACGCGGTCCTTCGAACGGCGAGACATTAAGTCCGCTGCGTCGTTTATCTGATCCTAAACGACGTCGACGTCGTCTTGTACCAGGAGCGGTAGTTTCTACGATCGAGTAATTTGCTTGCATAATGCGACGCCTACGCAAAACGCCCACGCATTGGCCGCGGGTTGAGAACTTTATACCAGCTATTAGTGATAATTTGTTGGATCGACGATGGGGCACGGTCAAATACGATTATGCGCGCAAATGTGTAATAGCTTCACGTGAACGTGCAAAACCATCGGAAATTTGTTGCCACGCGGTCAGCCGTCTTTCGAAATTTTTCATTTTATGAGATTCCTAAAGATAAGAGTATTCTAACAAGTTTTTAACTATTTAATTCGTCTATCCAACAGGGGATAATCATACTTTTTTGTAATTATCTCTGATGACGGTTGAAAAAAATTTAGTCTTTCTCTCTTTAACATTTTATATTAATTAAAAATTGTGTTTCATCTAGTAGAAGTAGGTGTAAATTACGGTAAAAATGTGCAGTTTCTCACGTGATATATTTTTATCACGCCACGATGAGTACATGTTCACTTTGTACGACGAGTAATGACTTTGTTATGGCGAAAATTATGGCGAGGATCTCTCCGTCGCGCAGCCGGTAAGAAATTATTTTCTTGCACCGCCTTCCACGAAGCGCGCGAGTCCTTAAAGTTCTTAGGGCTTCATTCCCCCTAAAGGGACCGTAAGAGGAGTCGTACGTACCTTTTGCGGCGCTTGTTCTTACTTAACGAGATGCGTGTTTCTCGCGCTGGGGATATAACCGGCTCGTGGTTTTCTTACGGTCGGCGAACGTTGTTTTGCGACTCGCAAGGTCACGCGAGTCCCAGCACCGAAAAATGTTCGACAATAAAACGCACGATGCTCGAAGCCAGTCGAGCCATTAGGTATGCTGTGACCATTTCTGTTCGTGTCGTTCGTTACGCGGGAAAATATTGCGAGATCGTCCGAAACACCGAGAATAAGCAACTTTATATATATTTTTAATGTATACGAGATAAAATGAAAAGCTTAAAGTATAATGCAATTAATAACGTGCAAAATAAATTGCACAGAGTTTATATTTTATGGAAAATTTTATTTTTATTTTTGCTACAAAAAGCGACATAATTTTTCCAGACGTGATATTAACGTAACATTTTTTATTTCGCAAGCTACTACTAGTATATTTTTTTATTACAAATTCTGCCATCATTATTTTTATTATTGTAGGTATTATTATCATTGTTATCGGGGCATATCGTTATAACGACCTTAATTACATACGCGGACATATATACGGGACGATTATTGTTAGCAACCGAAAATACAATCGAATATTCCCATTAAACGTCAGCCAATTATCCCGATAATATTGTTTCGCCGGTCGGATAAAGCGAATTTTCAACCGGTAGCATGTGCTTACCAGACGGTAAGCCGATGTAACGTGCGTGTAAGGTAAATCGTGCGCGGATTATTCAGATAGATTAAGCCGAATCGCGCGTATTGATTTCGATGACTCATTGATTATTCGACGAGCGAATCGGGCAGATTACGCAAAACTTTTCGCAACTCCGTCATTCGAACGAACGAGTCGCCAGGAGTCGGTCTTTTATTTTCCACGGGAAACGGAAAGGAGAGACGCGCCACCGCTCGAGTTCGCGTTTATCGCTCTTTCCACGACGAAAGTTTGAATATTCAGCGGTTTCAGCGCAAAGGGGGAATTGCGAATAAGCGCGAGAGAGAAGGAGTGAGAAGGGACAAGGAGGATAAGCCGGGCTGAATCTGGTATACATCCCCCGGTTTAGCAATTAGCATCTTGTATTTCGGATCCGCGAATCCGCAGGAAGAAACGGACCGAGTCACGACGTTGCCCTTATACCTCCGGGCCCTACCCTCGCAGACGATGTATAAACGTTATTGCATTCGCGCGCAAACCTCCGACCGACCAACCGACCAACCAAGCAAGCAAGCAACCAACCAACCAACACACCAAGCGACCAAGCAACGAACCAACTATATATCCAACCCGCTCCCGCTCGTAATTTAATGGAATTATTCGTCGGAGTTACACGCCGTTTTATGCCCGCGTTGAAGGCGCCCGCCGCTCGTGCTCGCACGCCGGCATAAATATGTATATGCAAATGCAATGGCGAATAAAATGAAGAAAATATGGAATGATAACGCGCGAGGCGCGCGTTTGCAAATTGTGTCAGCGCGCGTCCGGAGAATCGCGCGAATTTTTTCGATAATTCTCGTTCGCCTTGGTTATCATATTTTTCCGCTTCATCTTTTCCCTCGGGGATTATCCGATACTACGAGCGAAATAAATAACAGGATATTTTTTCAATAATGGATTTATAAACGGAGGTAAATGAATAAAAATATATGAATTTGCATCTAAATCCATCATTGGATTTTTCTCGTACTTTCTTTTCCATCGGATAATTCTTTATTTATTATTATTATTTATATATTATTTATATTTTCGAGTTGAAAATATTTTTTTGATGAAAACCTACGTATCGCCGATTCAATTGACACTTCGCATTCTCGCGTGTACCTTTATTTTTACGTGATCGGCATAATACAATAGATCGAGTATATATAGCGTTCTCGCCATTCTCTCCGCGTTTAAAACTTTAGGGGATATATTTATCGGAGCAATACGCTCGAACGGGCCCGGGCTCATTACACGCTCAGTCACTTTTTACAGTCCGATAGAAACGCGCGTCGCACACGATCGGAAAACCAATATCGCCGAAAATCCGTGACATTTTACCTGCCGTGATAGAATCGATTCTTCGCGACAAACGCGCGCGCCTTTTCGACACATTCGTCCGGAAATACCGATGTAGACAGAAAACCCGACGGAACTCCGGGAGGGAAAATGGGCGGTCCCGGCTTTTCGTCGCGATCTACGGCCTCATTTCCATGAATTTGAAATTACACGCGACGATGTCACCAGCCGCACCCCGGTGTACGTAGACGCTCTCTACACGCGCAAACGTGTGCATAGAGAACCAGCAGTCAGTCGGAGGCGCGTTCAAAGTCCCTTTTAGCGGTGCTTTCAACGCTTTTTCCACGGGAGCTCGCCTGCTCAAATATTAAAATAAGCGAAAGAAAGAGAGAGAGAGACAGAGGGAGAGAAAAGTGGAAACACGCGCGCGCACGCGGGCTTACAAAAGAGATTTTCCACTTTGCCTTGGTAGGGCAAACCCGCTGTGAAACTTGGACGGAGGAGAAAAGGGGTGTCAAGATGTGCTTGTTCACCCCTTCTCTCCGTTTGAGCGAGGGAAGTTTTCCGTCTTGCTTCCGTTTCCTGTACAAGACATATTTACTTAGACGCAGGAAGGTGCCGATATTTCCCGACTACGCTGATCGGAATCTTGGGTCTTGTAGTAGAGAGGTAGAGACGTGACACGAGGAACTTTATGCGAGGAGAGCTGTTGATATCTGATCGCGACATAGCTGCTGCTCTCGCACCGTATAATCTGAATTGCGCTTTTCGGGAGATGATGCCTTTAACTTTGTATTGCATGCATCTTTGTAATTTAATTGCAATATAAGTAAATTATACGAAGCAAGAAAATTTGGAAAGACAAGTTTGATAAGAGGAAAGAAAAAAATTATCATTTGTTATTATCATAGTTATTATTTTTGGAAAAATATTTTGAATTATTACGCAATTAAAATATATTTTCATTATGACAAATTAATTTAAGATGAAATATTTGATTGTTGGTTATCCTTTTGTTACAGGTACATATTTACGCATTTCTCTCTCAGCGATACACACCGCTATTCTTACTTCAATCACGTACGTATTTTTGCATATATATATATATATATATATATACATATATTGTGTCGATATTAATAATGAATCAAGTTGCGGTCATACTTTGTCCTGTTTGCGCTGAAAATTCACACGTATATCATTTCCATATCATTCGCGAATTATCATGCATATCTTAGCGTATTCTTGTATTCCGCTTTTTTATATTTATTACACCAAGTTTTTATATTCAATTGTACTTTGTCCGAGTGTCAACTTGAAAATTTACATAGGTTTACTTTTTTTCTCGTGAAATCGGAGTTCTTGGGAATATTCGCTCAATCGAGACAGAATTAATTTCTACGTCAGAATTTTTTGCGGAAGAAAAAATCTCGTCTTTCGACGCGTCTTTAAACTTTACTTTATTCATTAGATTAAGATCGTACAGTAATTATGGTCCTGTGAGATTCCTCAACTTATATCTTAAATTAAATCGATTATTTTTTTCCATTTACGCGTTTTTTTCCGGCGCTGCGTTTATTCTTGACATCACCGAGCGAAATTACAGTCGGAAAATAAGCAGGTGGAATGCGCGTAATAGAAAGACATCGCGAGGTGGATGGAGGTTAAGAAGCGAGATAGGAAAGATTATAAGTTTCGCGTTTCATTTGCCATTCTTTCCCCTCTTTGTCGCGCAGAGAGAGAGAGAGAGAGAGGAGAGCTTTTTACTCTCGAGTCCCGGTTCTTTTACGGTAATATCCGTAACAGAGTCCTTTCCTCGAGACTTGCGCCCCATTGCAGCGCCCGTCGTTAAATAGATTGACTGTAAAAAAGAGGACGATTTCGCTTAAATTGGAGTCGGCAAAAATTAAGATAAAACGCGCGCAACCGCGAGAGACGAAACTCGTTTCGTCTGTCGTTATTGTTATTCGAGACCTTTGCTTCTCGCGATAATCGCGGTGAACTCTCGTGCGAGGAACGATGATAAGAGAGAAACTCGTCGTACAATTTGTCCACTTTCTTCTTTAATCGCGCAGTACTATATATTTGGGAATTATATGTACATATATTTTAATTTAAATATTTTTTTAATTTAATTTAAAATAATTTAATAAAACCACATTTTTCGATTAATTGACACCCAACGATATTGTCATCATCTGCTACGTTATTTATTTATTTTGGAAAAGAAAAACGGTCGCAAAAAAAGCATCGGTGGCCGTCAACGCGTGTGGGAAGATATCGTTTTCTTTTTCGCGTGTTGGTTCGTCTCTTTTGCGTTGGAAAACAAATCATCGTCGGGGTACCGAAAATATTTATCCGCTCTCGCTGTATGCGACACTGCTCGTTTGGTAAACACCTAAATCGGCCAAATAAACGTCAACGGAAACATAACACTTAGTACCTACTCGGCGTGCTGCCGCGGGATCTCTCCTATTACTTTTCAGATATTGCTTCTATGTGTATTTCTCGTGTCGTTTTGCGATGTGTGTGGTATTCTCGTTTTCATTAATATCGTTTTCTTTGTTTTGATACACAGAAATATTTTTAATGAATGCTGCAATTGAAAACTGAAACTACTGACAATGAGTATTGTGTGCGGAAAGTCATTATATTTCTCTGATTTCAATTTAATCCCAAATTGAGTAACGTTGCGCGTTTTTGATAGAACTGCTAATCGAGATACTTATCACCCTGATATTTAAAGAATCTCTTCTTCTTCTTCGTTGGTTTTTCTACTTTGAGGATGACAAGGCAAGAAAAATATTTAATATGCGTTCCCCGTTTTTCTTTTTAAAGAGCCCTTTTATTGTGAATCTCTTTACGATTCAGTGAGCGTCTCTCGTGTTTGCGCGAGTCTTTTGTCGGCGAGAGAGAGAAATAGCGAGAAAACGGGGAAAGGGATGCACGCGGGCAGCCACCCTCGAAAGAGGACCAGTCTCTCGGATGAAAGTCGACGGTCGCGAAAGCTTTTACGAAAGTTTTCCTGTTTTTGTGTTTACGCGCGAAAAGAGACAGAAACCCGCGCGCGGAAAAGCCGCTCGCGAGAGAATGCCCATAGATATGCTGGTCGTATCTTCACGGCAGTAAATACGAAGATTATCTAGCCTGTTTGGTGCAGACGGGTGGGCGCTTACAGGATAGGGGACAGGAAGAAGGAGGAGGTCCTGATAGAAGGCTAAGTGCATTTGGCCAGCTTCCAGCCGAACGACGAACCGTACACGCGGCTTTTCTGAGCGGGAAATCACCGTAGCAACCTCTCTCTCGCCTCGTTTCGCCTCATCTCGCGTCGATATCCTTGTCACCTGTCTTCTTTCTTCTTCTTCGCGACTCGATTCCACCCTCTTGTCCGCCCTATCGGACACAGCGGTATTCATTTGAAAATTGCCGAAAATTATTTATTTAGTTCCGCACTTTACATTATATCGCGTTAAAAGTTTTTAAAATACAGTCTTGAAAATAAAAGAAGCACGAAAAATACTTGGCATTTTTAAAATAGTATTTTTCAATCTTGAACGTATAAAAAATAATATATATATCCAATTTTTAATATCGATAACAATTTTTCAAATAAATATTTTGTTTGTGTAAGAAATTTGATAAATGATTTTCTTTTAAATTTGTGATTTGAAAATCTAATTTAAAAAGCTTGATCCGATATCTCCGGAGGGTTCATTAATCTTTTTTAAATATATTGTTATCTTAAGAGGCGAGAGTAGATAACACGTGTTCGATACAGAATATGTGTTTGAGATAAAGTCGTGAAGAAGAAGATTGAAAGCCACTGCCCTGAAACATCGTCGTAGTCTTTCTAGCGTTCAATCCCCTCAAAGTTTTCTCTCCGGTCTCCACTGTCACCCCTTAAGCTAAGGTTCAAGCTCCGCTTGTCTGTCTGTGCCGGTAAAAGTTTCTGGGGATTGTATTCGAGCTTTCGTATAAACGTTCGCCATAAAGGAAATCTGATAGAATTCTTGAAGATGTCTCGCGATATGTAGCGATTTGATTTCAAATAACATTCGTATAAAAATTGTAGAACTCGTAGATCAACGTTAATCTTTTTTGAACGATAAAATATTTAAATATAGAAGATGAGAGATATATATGACTCGTTTATAAATATATTCCCGCAGGGAGAAGGATCCATTTTCACAAAGAGAATTCGCGACAGGATCTTCTTCGTTGATATCGTTGTAAATCACGTCGCTAGTACGGAATTAACAACGTGTGGAATAGGTTTCAGCGAATCACAAATTTGCTGCAATGACACTAGGTGCCTTCGCTTCTTCTTATTGCTCGCGTCTACCTCGAGTCTAAATTGGCTTTTGCTCCGATGATAAAGTCTCCGTTTTATTTTAAACTCGCTTTTGTTTCGAAGCTTGCTTTGTATAGCGTCCGGAGGACAGTCACTTTGGTATAGAGCGTCTTGTAAAAACCACTTGAGTGGCAGAACGTGAAGGCGCACTGCTGAGGGATGCGAAAAAGCTTGCTGAGACACATTAGTCTCGGCGAGGGTCAACGAGTGAAAATAAATGGCCCATTACTTGGTCGTGAGGGTACCTCCACCATCATGTCCCCGGTATACGTCTCTCTTCGCCGCGCTCATGCTCTCTTCGGTCTTGGAATTTAACGGACCGACGATATATGAGCTAGCATCGAGAATAATAGAACGTAAATACTGCGATAAAACGATAGAACCTGTTACGCCATTCTCATCCAGCCACGCACGATCGTAAATTTGAAGTATGGTCCGCCTGTTATCGAGAAAGAGATACGTGAAGAATCAATTGATATGATAAAGAGGCTAAGAAAAAAAACTTGTAAGAAATTATCGATACACAAAGCGAACATCTGAACATGAAACTTTATGAAATTTCAGTAATAAATCTTGGTCATTTTTGTTGACTTCAATTTTGAAATTGTCAAGATAAATATTTATTTGCAAGAGAAAACAGCATCTTTAAAAGATAAATATATATTAATATATTAATTGTATTAATTTTATACAATTATTAAATATATGTTATAGTATTAGTGTCAATTATGTTTTTTTTTTTGAATTGCAAATGTCTTCATCTTTCGTCATTAAAAATTCTCATAAAAGGATATGTCTTAATTTTGTACGAGTTCTCGTATAGCTTGGTTGGAAATCGCGCACCTGTTCGTTAAGTGCATCGGCCGGCTGATGCGGTTAAAATACAAAATTAATTGGTGACGTGAACAGACGCGTGCCCGGAATCACTTTCGCGAGGCTTTTTCTCAACAGGATATCGGGCGAATCGATACGTTCAAAATGCCTCTGCCGGCGACCGGATTTTCAAACTCGACTCGGATGGTTTTAAATCAATATCCTATCGTGTCTCGTATCGGAAAAAATTCGGTTCAAGGTTCGACTCGTCCCTCGAATATCGCATCTTGGTGACAGCGGTGTTGCAAATAAAACATTGACACTTAAAAAATTGGGGAATAAAAATAAAGAAAGTGAAAATTGAAATTTACATTTCATTTGGATACTTAATACACTTTAAAGCTATAAATACATCTCACTTGTAGTAATTTAATTTATGCGAACTTGTAAATATACCGTTGAGACATTGAAATATTTGTGGATAATTCAATATAAACGGTGTGTCATTCTAATATTGCCAAGGTACTTTATCTCGCGGCGAGTTGCGGCGAAATCAATGCCCGGTTGGTGAGGGTAACTTTCAAGTTCACGTTTATAACTCTCGAGAGTAGAATGGGAACGAACGCGATGAGAAGGAGTCGGAAGGGCGTGTGGGCGGACGGGATAGGCCTTGTCGCTACCTTAATTACGTTAGTCGCATTATGCGACGTTTCTCCCTTGTTTCGTGAGTCGCCGCCATGAGACCCCCGGGTAAACGATGCCGGCGTTAACGTCGGTATAAAGCCGCCACCCCAACCCGGTCGGCTCGTAGGGCTGTACGAGACCGACGAATCGACCGTGGCGTATCGTCGGTACGGCGCCACCGCTTTTTCCCTTCAGTATATATTCCGCACTCTTCACCACCGTCCTCTCGCTT